GGTACAGCAAATTTCCCAAAGCATTCAGATGTAAATATTCCAATACTCAAGCCAGGGGACCATTCAGGAGACTAAGTGCGGGAGGCTGGCCTGAGCCCAGGAGTTCGATACCAGCTTGGACAACACAGCAAGACTGTCTTGAAAAAAAGAATTCTAAACAAAATAAAAACAAGAATTCAAAATAAAATTAATGAAAGCTATAGGAAGGGTGGGGGAAGAAATCCAACATTTTATCACCCGCCAGCTACCAAGTATCTAACAGCAGGAGTTCGAGCACTAGCTTGGACAACACAGCAAGACTGTCTTGAAAAAAGAATTCTAAACAAATAAAAAAACAAGACCCTAAAATAAAATTAATGAAAGCTATAGGAAGGGTGGGGGAAGAAATCCAACATTTTTTTTTTTTTTTTATTTTTTTTTTTTTTTGAGATTTGAGTCTCGCTGTGTCACCCAGGCTGGAGTGCAGTGACGCAATCTCGGCTCTGCCACTGCAAGCTCCTCCGCCTCCCGGGTTCCCATTCTCCTGCCTCAGCCTCCGAGTAGCTGGGACTACAGGCGCCCGCCACCACGCCTGGCTAGTTTTTTTTGTATTTTTTAGTAGAGACGGGCTACTCATGTTAGCAGGATGGTCTCGATCTCCTGACTCGTGATCCACCCGCCTCGGCCTCCCAAAGTGCTGGGATTACAGGCGTGAGCCACCGCGCCCGCCGAAATCCAACATTTTATCACCCGCCAGCTACCAAGTATCTAACAGCACAATGTCCTGGCTTTGCCGTGCTCTTCAAAGAAAAAGTGAAAACCCTGTGAGGGGAGCCATCTGGATTTGTATTCCTCACCATTTACCATGACTAGAATGCTGAAGAGTGTGCCCTTCAGAAACTGAGTTTTTCAGGCAGAAAATTATACTTTTCTCTCCAGACCATATAGGAGTGCCTAAAAAAGTTATGCCAAAATGTAAAAAGGGGAAGAGTCAAGCCAAGGACCTCCATTTCTAAACTGAAGTCTTGGCTGCCCCTCAAACTGCAATTTACACACTCCTCCTTAGGTACTATGGTTTGCCTTTAGGCAGCATGCGAAGGTGTGAATCTCTTTTAGACCTTGTCAGAGTACCTCAATGGCCAATCAGAAAATAGGTATTAAGGGTGAAGAAGCCACTTTTTAGAAAGTTAGATCATGCAGAGAAACTTAATTTATACTTTAAAAAATCAAATTTACCACATTCATGTGAGATGAGAGCTATCCTATGGCCATCTTCCTTTACAATTTCAATAAGACAAGACAGAACTTACAAAGCTCTGAAATAGTTTTCTCACTGTTGGGATCATTAAAATTAGTCTGTTTCCTTAAATACTATTTAACTTCACTACACACTTGTTTGACCACGGGCTATTTGAGACATTCAGGGTACTAACCTATAGAACTGTTCTCACCTAATTTGCTCAAGCAACAAGACCCTGATAATAAAGACAACAAAATGTTGAAAACAGCAGGATTTTAAACCAAGTTCCCCTCTGTAGCACAAGAAACTCAGGTAGGTTTCCAGTGTCCAAAGCTTGCACTCACAAACATGAAGCCCTCCCTTTGTAACCCTCAAATACCCAGAACCTGCTGAAGAAAACCATCTTTCACCACCTTTTGATATGGTTCCTCAATATTAGTGGAAAAGCTTAATTCTCACAAAGATATCCAACAATGCTAATTTTTACATGGCATGTTACTTCCTTAGGCAAGATTAATAGAAAACCTGAAAAATTCGCAACAAGCACACAAAGACCAGCTTCTGTAACACAACCTGACCCCACTCATATCACATCATTTTAGAAGGAAGTCCGTTTAAACCAGTGATTCTCAAGCAGGCAATTTTGACTTCTTACTATCACCATGGGAGGGGAGGAGTCCTGGCAGTGGCCAAAAACGTTGCTTAACATCCTACAACAGAGGGCACTCCTCAACAAAAGTGATCAGGCCAAAATGTCAACACTGCTCCCCAGACTGAGAAACTGAATTTTAAACTAAACCTCTAGTTTAGATGATCACTAGGTCTCAACGAATGCGAGTTTACAGCTCAGAAACAATTCTAGAAACTTAAAGCCTTGGCCAGGCACAATGGCTCAAGCCTGTAATCTCAGCATGTTGAACTGAATGGTGAAACCCTGTCTCTAGCAAGAAAAAAAAAAAAAAATACAAAAACTAGGCGGGCATGGTGGTGCATGCCTGTAGCCCCAGCTACTCAGGAGGCTGAGGTGGCGGTGATCACCTGAGGTCCCCAGGTCGAGGCTGCAGGGAGCTATGATCGTGCCACTGCACTCCTGCCTGGGTGACAGAGCCAGACCGTCTCAAAAAAAGCCTTTTGGCCATTTCTACCTATGGCCGAAATAATGTGAGCAGATAATGACCTTTTAGAGTATTCACAAATGGGGATCTTAAGACACCGAGTACAAGTTACTGAACTAGAACTAAGGCGTGGGCAGCTTGGTATGTCATACTTCCTCAACTTAGAAAATAGTTGCAAGGGTAGCATAAAGCTTCAGTCCACAAAATTTGTAAGTTTGGACTTGCTATGGTATTGGTCAAAGTTCAGGATTGTTCCTATACTAACGAACTGCACTCCATCCTAGCTAATGGAGAACAAAAATACCCCTAGAGCAGTTTCCATACCAGTTAAACATGAAACCAGAGCAGCAGTACTTAGTCTACAAACACTCTTGACTAGCTAAGAGGACAGATATTCAGCAAAGTCCCTGTAACCAAGCAGTAAGTAAGTTAAGGCCAAGTTGTTATTATCAAGGAAAGAGAACCCCTTAGTCAAATATAGCACTAGGCTGGAAAGGCTGAGTTCAAATACCAGCCTGGTCAACACGGTGAAACCCGGTCTCCACAAAAATACAAAAATTAGCCAGGCATGGTGGTGTGCAGACTGTAATCCCAGCTACTTGAGAGGCTGAGGCAGGAGAATCGCTTGAACCCAGAAGGCAGAGACAGCAGTGAGCTGAGATCGCGCCACCGCGCCTGAGGGAGACTCCGTCTCAAAAGGGGGGAAAAAAAATCAAAAACCAATCTTTCTCATTAGTAGAGGTCCAGTTAGGAACCACATCAACCATGCATCTCTTCCCCTGAACTATTTCTGAGGAAGGCGGCAAACCAAACACCCTCAGCTAAAGAATGTAACAAAATGCCAGTGTCTGGCTACCAGACGCGACTTGACACAATATTCCCTTTCAGTTTTGCTGAATTAGTCAAAATGAGTATTGGGCTAGAATTCAAAATCCTGAAGAATCAAGTATGTCCCCCTACCTTAGTTGGTCTTAACTCCATCTCAGGGGAATTCCAAACCAAAGTAAATTATCAGGGGGGCATTTTTAAACATTTTAAGTAACACACAAAACATTTGACTACTGAAATTTTATTATGGCAAGAAGTTGCCCAGGACTTGGTTTCCCATTATTTCATACTTGCCCCGAACTCCCTTTCAGTTAATCATAACACCGTAATACCATCTAGGCCAGACCACTGCAGGGTATCGGCATCAGCAGAGATCAGAAAACAAAAATAAAGCCACGCGTCAGGGTAATTGTTTAGTTTTATTGTCTCTTTATTCCTGTAATGTAAAAAGGAAAATAATGCCATATAACCCTCTTCACTACAGATACCGACAGTTTCTGTAGCCTCTAAAACAGGCAGGAAATGGCCTTCATAACTATTCTCCAATTTTGATGGAGGAGGGTGGTGGAAAAGTCATTTAAAAAACCAGCTGCAATATACTGTACTATCAGAGTGGAGTGAAGCAATTGAGTCCTTTTACCTAGCTGACTCTGAATCAAGACAGCTAAAATAATGTACCAGAAAGAAAGAAAAAAAAAACCAAAATGCTACCAAAACCCCCATCCAGTATCTACCCTTTATGGAGAAAAGTACCTTTATTTATAATGTTTTACAAAGAATCGACGTCTCAAGTTTCCACCTTGTTTTAGTAAAAAAGAACTTTCAAAGAAAACACTCTAAACAACAACCTCCTGTATACAAAGCTCTATTTCAATAATTAACAATGATACCCTTCTTGGAACAATCCAGCCGCTCTGAAACTATGGCATCTACTTACTAGATGAACACGTTTCTCTATGGAGGTGCCTTTAATTTCTCAAGAGATGTGTAAGCTAAGACGGCTCCAAGTTACACTTTAGAGAGCCTTGTATTTTCAGAGGTTATTTTTCATCGGTCAGAAAAACTTATGTCGACGATTCTACACGAAATGTTGCTCACAAACCACGCATCGCAAAGCTAACGAGGCAAATTTAAAGAACCAATGAAACAGTGGAGGCCCATCTCTGAATCTTTAATTGGCTATGGTAATCTCAATTTATTGCATTAATAATCTTTTAGACCTCAAGATACACGTGACCTAGGGACAGTTTACATTAATGGACAAGACTTAAAAATAGACACCAAGTTCAGCAAGTATTTGAGCACCTACTAAAAATTACACAACTCCCCACAACAACGCATTTTGCGTTTCTGAAGTTGTAGGAAGCATATTCGGACACCTGATGGAATTTCCCAAGTTGTTTGCCCCCCCCCCAAAAAAAGCGGGGGGAGAAAAGGGAGGGCATTTTGGGGGCAACAAACCAAACTGGTCTGTCGCATGTTAAGTCAATTTCACGTTCACCTACAGGTCACCACGAAGCCGAGGGAAGTTTTAAAATGAACATTCCGGGGTCTCCAGAGATCCTCTCTCCAAGTCCACTCGGCACGGGCGCCTGAGCCGGGGCTAAGGTCCCGCGTCTCCGGTTCTATCCTGAGAGAATCCGGGGGATCCACAGGGATTCCCCAGGGCAGCCTTCAGAGAAGACGAAAAACAGGGGCTGCCCAGGCCTCACGGGTACTTCCCGCGCTAGGGATGGTCACGAGCAGCCAGGGCCTACGGACGCGCCAGGGAAAGAATATAGCGACCCAGGAGCTCGCAGGGCCGCCCGCCCAGGAGCCTGAGGTGGGAAGGACCTCACCTTGCTGCGGTCCTCCTCCTGCTGCTGCAGCAACTCGGGAACCGCGGCCATGGCGACGCGGGACTCGAGCAGGGGCCGCCTGGCTGTGCGAGGAAAGAAGAGGCTGGGCCGCTGCCGCCTGGGCGCCTCTCGGGGGCGGCCACGGCCCCGCCTCCGCCGGTCTCCCTGCCCGACGGCAGCAGGAGGCCTCCGGACTCCGCCACCATCCCAGCTGCCCCGGGAGCAGGCGAGCAGGGCGCCACGTGCTCCCCCAGAGCGGCCTCCCAGTCCCCGCTGCCGTCCATCTTGGAGCCGGGCAAAGACGCCACGCGGGGCCTACCCTTGCTACGCTCCACGAGGAGGCCGCCGACCGCAGGGCCGCGACGCGGACGCAAAGCCACGGACACTCTCCCAGCAAGACGCGTCTAGAGAAAGACCGTGTTTCGGTGCCGGGGGAATTTATTACTCAGCCCGAGTCCAAGATGGCGGCGAGCGCTGACGTCACCAGATCTCGTGAGAGCAGAAGGGCGCGATTTAGAAGCTCCCGCGCTTTGGGGACGCCGGCCCTTCAGCTGGGAGGAAGTACTCCCTGCCTCTAGCTGGTGGCGCGTCGGCGGAGGCCTAAGAGAGCCTCGGGTGGGGCGTGAGCGCCGCGGGGCATTCTGGACCTATTTTGCCTTAGGCTGTGCCTGATTCGAAACCAAAGCGCGGGACGGATGAAAGTACGGGTCGCGAGAGGTTGTTCGCGCCTTGAGAGTTAAGCGAAGTGTGGTGGCTCCCAAGGTACCGACACTGGCCATAGGCTGGGCTTCTATTTAAGTCCTCTTTTCTCTAATCCAGACTCCTGCCCCAGGGGCCACCGCCGTCCTGGCCCCGCCAGGGGTCCGTACCCACGGCGGAGAGGGAGGCGCCTTTTTGCGGTCACAGTAATGGGACCTCAGCGCCGCCACCAGCTCTGACCGGCGAGCGACTGGACCCTCCAACCCGATTTCCACGTCTGTGCAACGGGTTCATTCTAGACCCACGGTAGAGGGTGTGAGGACCAAATGAGAAGTATCCATACAGAATACTTAGCAGAGAGCCTGGTGTCTAGGAATCAGTAATTGTCTGTCACCTAGGACTGTGTGGCCGCCATGGGACGGGCTCCATCTTTGTGATTTTCCGTGTCTCGCACACGCCTCCCTGCCTGGGCGTCCCATTCTTGCATATTAGAGACGGGGGACGTCTTGCCCCAAGCTGTCTGCTAATTCGCATTTAATATGTGCCAGTCCTTCGGGTATTGAGAGTCTTAATTTATTTATAAACTTTTTTTTGGAGGCAGGGTCTCGCCCTGTCGACTTTCTTAAGAAAGAGCTCTGTCCAAGCATGTCGAAAAAGTTCACAATTTTGATGTGCAATGTTATTCCGATGCAGCTTTCGCTTTGATGGTTGTGTTCTCTCTAATAGGAATACAAACATAAAGGGCCTCGACCGTTGCAAATAGACTAGAGAAAAGTGAAAACAAATCTGAATGAAGATGAAGTTACTTCAGACCATTTGCAGGCAGCTCAGGAGTTCAAAGGGATTTTCTGTGGAATCAGCTGCCCTTGTGGCTTTCTCTACTTCCTCTTACTCTTGTGGCCGGAAGAAAAAAGTGAACCCATATGAAGAAGTGGACCAAGAAAAATATTCTAATTTAGTTCAGTCTGTCTTGTCATCCAGAGGCGTCTCCCACACCCCAGGATCGGTGGAGGAAGATGCTTTACTCTGTGGACCTGTGAGCAAGCATAACCCGCCAAAGCAAGGTGAGGACCGACGAGTGCCACAAAACTGGTTTCCTATCTTCAATCCAGAGAGAAGTGATAAACCAAATGCAAGTGATCCTTCAGTTCCTTTGAAAATCCCCTTGCAAAGGAATGTGATACCAAGTGTGACCCGAGTGCTTCAGCAGACCATGACAAAACAACAGATTTTCTGGTTGGAGAGGTGGAAACAGCGGATGATTCTGGAACTGGGAGAAGATGGCTTTAAAGAATATAATTCAAGTAATTATCTCAATTCTGGTTCTGTGTGTTTGCTATGTTTTCTAGAATAGAGAGCAACGGTGTCAAAAGAATGAGGTTTTGTTTTGCAAGGAACTCCCTTCAGATAGTAATTAACATTAAATAGCACTTTATGTGTATTAACTCACTTGATCCTCATGATAGTCCTGTGAAGTATAGATACTGTTACCTACATTTTACAGATGAAACTAAAATAGATCAAATAATTTGACTAAATAATACATAAAATTCACTTGTTTTATGAGCTACTAACAATATTAGAATTGCTTGTTTTCCTTCATTATGGAAAAAAGTCACCTGGTAATAGAATTCTAGTTTGCTAGATATTCTGTTTAGAATCTAGTAAATACCCATTGCCCTACTTATTAGCGTCAACTGACTCGTAAATTTAAAGACCCTGGAGCAGACCAGATCACATGACCTATATTTAGACCTTGGTAAACTGAGATAATCAGAGGTTCTTCATAAGGATCTGAGAATAAATACACTTTAAACTTCAACTTCTAATTTACTAACTTGGACAAGTGAGGAGAATAGGTTCCTAAAATTTAATATTCCATTCAAAAACACGATTGGCACCGGTGAATTAGCTGGCACCGGTGAATTAGCTGGTCCTGTAAATTATATAGGGGTCTTTTGTTAAAGGAAAGTTTTACATCGATCGTTCCTTTACCCAAGCTTCCCAAAGTGCAGTACATGTACTCTTAGTGGTACACAAACTCTTTTATTTTTATTTTAAGAATAGTGTACTGACCTTTGGCTTAATAGAAGCCTGGGCTTCTATTTAAGTCATCTTTTCCCTAATCCAGACTCTTAAAACTGTGTAACACATTAAACATGTCACATGTTCTAAAGAAAAATACTAAGTATATACAAGTGGTACTGGATATAGCAGAAATGGTCAAGGCCTTAGCTCCTTATAACATTCCTCAGCTGTGTGGGGCAAGGATTATATATGCAAGAGCTAACTGCCTTCCTAAGATAGTTAATTAGTAGCAACCACCAAACTATTGTCTGCTTTCCAAGCAAGCAACATAAAAATCTTTTAATGGCATCCTATAGTTTTGTATTTGTACCACTAAAATTTAGAATTGATAGTTTCCTCATGAGAAGTTATTTTCCTTAAACCAGGAATGTCACAGCTGAAATTACTGATAAGAAATATTAAAACGCAGAAGAAACCTGCTGGAACACATGGGACCCTAGGGCCTGTAGCTCTTGGCACGAAGTAAGGAAGTGCCCCAGAGAGGAGTTTCTGTTTGGAATGTGAATGAGCCCCAATAGCCCAGGCAGAGAGAAGACTGGTTGTTTTTTTTCCATATAGAGTCAGCTTTGTTGATCTAGATTAGCACTCAGCTGTGTTTCTCAGTTAACTCAGCAACCTTAAGAAATGAGCAGAATCGGCCGGGCGAGGTGGCTCAAGCCTGTAATCCCAGCACTTTGGGAGGCCGAGACGGGCGGATCACGAGGTCAGGAGATCGAGACCATCCTGGCTAACACGGTGAAACCCCATCTCTACTAAAAAATACAAAAAACTAGCCAGGCGAGGTGGCGGGCGCCTGTAGTCCCAGCTACTTGGGAGGCTGAGGCAAGAGAATGGCGTAAACCCGGGAGGCAGAGCTTGCAGTGAGCTGAGATCCTGCCACTGCACTCCAGCCTGGGCGACAGAGCGAGACTTCGTCTAAAAAAAAAAAAATGAGCAGAATCGCTTCCCCCCACTGACCCGGCCTGGACTTGACCTACCGGACCCAAGTGATTGTCCCATCTCAGCCTGCTGAGTACACAGGCGTGCACCACCATGCCTGGCTAATTTTTTTTATTTTTTGTAGAGACAAGGGTCTCCCTATGTTGCCCAGGCTGGTCTCCAACTCCTGTCTTCAAACGGTGCTCCCACCTTGGCCTCCCAAAGTATTGGGATTACAGGTGTGACCCACTGCGCCCAGGCGGAATCACTCTTTTTAAGAAAATAAGTATTAGTAAGCAACGGGTTCTGAAATAAATAAGGGGACAATTAGTGTCATGGTGAATAAAAGAAAAAGGGCTCACTAAGTTGATTAGTGGGTCTGGAGGATATTGGATCCCAAACCCAAGAAGGTGGCACCCAAGAAGAATTACATTTTAAAAATTATAAATATTTTTTTAATGAAAAATATTGGATCAATAAATTAATTTCTACCCAGTCTTCTGAAAGGTAAGAGCATAGAAATGTGTCTGGCATTCTTCCAAATACTTGAGCAGTTTCCCAAGCGTCAGTTCACCTTTTGAAGACTGGCAGGGATGAGAAAGTCTGACTTATTCTGTTTTGTATTTTGTGTATAAATACACACAAAGGGCTGGGGTTTAGATTTTAATTCTTTTTTTTTTTTTTTTTTTTGGCTGTGCTGATTTAATCCTGAAGTATTAGCCATCCTGCCAGTTCCATCATGAGAATACTGGAGATGCATGAAGGTTTTTTTAGTGCACTTCATATATGAGGACTTGAAAGCATTTCACTTTTACTACTTTGAGTGAATAAACCGACTTGATGCTACATGCAGTAAATATTCTTGAATCGTTTTTTATTTTTATAAATTGAATCATGTTGAATGTTCTGAGCCTTAGTGTCTGAAGGATCCTGTGATCTAGGTTTTCATGTTTGTGATCATGTGCATGTGAAGAACCTAGCCAGGGGTAAGTTTGCAGCGAGAAATGTACGGTCTATTGGCATGGCATTTGCTAAGTTTTTTCCTTCCTGTTTTTAACATGTTTGTCTCCTGCTTCATTAACCTAGTGTGTAGATGAATGCTACACTTCTTTTTCCTAGGCCTTAATTCCATCAGTCATAAATTTCTTGTAGGTCTTTCACATGTTAATAATTCCAACTGAGCCAAGTAAATTTGGAGTAGAATAACTTAGTTCCTAAGTTGAATTTCATTTAACTCTCCAAATAATTTTTCAGAAGGGATTCCATTTTTTGCTAATGATAGAATTGACATTTCCAGCCGGGCATGGTGGCTCACGCCTGTAATCCTAACACTCTGGGAGGCTGAGGTGGGCAGATCACTTGAGGTCAGGAGTTTGAAACCAGCCTGGTCAACATGGCAAAACCCCATCTCTACTAAAAATACAAAAAAAGTAGCCGGGCGCAGTGGCGATCACTTGTAATCCCAGGTACTCGGGAGGCTGAGGCAGGAGAATCGCTTGAACCTGGGAGGTGGAGATTGCAGTGAGTGGAGATCATACCACTGCACTCCAGCCTGGAAAAAAAAAAAAAAAGAATTGACTTTTCCATCTTTGTAAAAAATAGTTGAAGGCTGAGTGCGGTGGCTCATGCCTGTAATCCCAGCACTTTGGGAGACCAAGGTGGGAGGATTGTTTGAGGCCAGGTGTTCCAGACCAGACTAGGCAACAGAGAGAGATTGCTTCTCTACAAAAAAAAA